TTTTATAGGTGACACTATCAAGCCATTTTGCCACGCCCAATTCTGAAACCCATATCAGATGTCAATTTTCCCCAGTTCTGACGCATGTGCAAAGTTTCGTGAGTTTTCGAGCATGTTTAGGCTCTCAAAAATGCGATTCACTTTGGAGAAGAAGAAGAAGAAGAAGAAGAAGAAGAAGAAGAAGAAGAAGAAGAAGAAGAAGAAGAAGAAGAAGAAGAAGAAGAAGAAGAAGAAGAAGAAGAAGAAACAGAGCAATTCCATGAGGGTCCTCGTACCACTGGTACTCCGGTCCTAATTAATTATGTTGACCGCATCTCCAGCAAAACATCCGGTATGTCATTTATTACACATTGGTACAGTGTAGCGCTGCAGCCGGGACACTCGCAATGAGAGAGAGAGAGAGAGAGAGAGAGAGAGAGAGAGAGAGAGAGAGAAAAAACATGACAAATGCGAAAGGAACCATATGCAAATGAGTGAATCTTAGAAGAAGAAGAAGAAGAAGAAGAAGAAGAAGAAGAAGAAGAAGAAGAAGAAGAAGAAGAAGAAGAAGAAGAAGAAGAAGAAGAAGAAGAAGAAGAAGAAGAAGAAGAAGAAGAAGAAGAAGAAGAAGAAGAAGAAGAAGAAGAAGAAGAAGAAGAAGAAGAAGAAGAAGAAGAAGAAGAAGAAGAAGAAGAAGAAGAAGAAGAAGAAGAAGAAGAAGAAGAAGAAGAAGAAGAAGAAGAAGAAGAAGAAGAAGAAGAAGAAGAAGAAGAAGAAGAAGAAGAAGAAGAAGAAGAAGAAGAAGAAGAAGAAGAAGAAGAAGAAGAAGAAGAAGAAGAAGAAGAAGAAGAAGAAGAAGAAGAAGAAGAAGAAGAAGAAGAAGAAGAAGAAGAAGAAGAAGAAGAAGAAGAAGAAGAAGAAGAAGAAGAAGAAGAAGAAGAAGAAGAAGAAGAAGAAGAAGAAGAAGAAGAAGAAGAAGAAGAAGAAGAAGAAGAAGAAGAAGAAGAAGAAGAAGAAGAAGAAGAAGAAGAAGAAGAAGAAGAAGAAGAAGAAGAAGAAGAAGAAGAAGAAGAAGAAGAAGAAGAAGAAGAAGAAGAAGAAGAAGAAGAAGAAGAAGAAGAAGAAGAAGAAGAAGAAGAAGAAGAAGAAGAAGAAGAAGAAGAAGAAGAAGAAGAAGAAGAAGAAGAAGAAGAAGAAGAAGAAGAAGAAGAAGAAGAAGAAGAAGAAGAAGAAGAAGAAGAAGAAGAAGAAGAAGAAGAAGAAGAAGAAGAAGAAGAAGAAGAAGAAGAAGAAGAAGAAGAAGAAGAAGAAGAAGAAGAAGAAGAAGAAGAAGAAGAAGAAGAAGAAGAAGAAGAAGAAGAAGAAGAAGAAGAAGAAGAAGAAGAAGAAGAAGAAGAAGAAGAAGAAGAAGAAGAAGAAGAAGAAGAAGAAGAAGAAGAAGAAGAAGAAGAAGAAGAAGAAGAAGAAGAAGAAGAAGAAGAAGAAGAAGAAGAAGAAGAAGAAGAAGAAGAAGAAGAAGAAGAAGAAGAAGAAGAAGAAGAAGAAGAAGAAGAAGAAGAAGAAGAAGAAGAAGAAGAAGAAGAAGAAGAAGAAGAAGAAGAAGAAGAAGAAGAAGAAGAAGAAGAAGAAGAAGAAGAAGAAGAAGAAGAAGAAGAAGAAGAAGAAGAAGAAGAAGAAGAAGAAGAAGAAGAAGAAGAAGAAGAAGAAGAAGAAGAAGAAGAAGAAGAAGAAGAAACAGAGCAATTCCATGAGGGTCCTCGTACCACTGGTACTCCGGTCCTAATTAATTATGTTGACCGCATCTCCAGCAAGTATGTCAGTATGTCATTTATTACACATTGGTACAGTGTAGCGCTGCAGCCGGGACACTCGCAATGAGAGAGAGAGAGAGAGAGAGAGAGAGAGAGAGAGAGAGAGAGAGAGAAAAAACATGACAAATGCGAAAGGAACCATATGCAAATGAGTGAATCTTAATTAAGGCAGCCAAATTATTGAATGCATGAATAATCTATCTGGGTCTGACACAGCTGGGCCTCATGTTCCGCATCTCACCTGACGGCACAATCACACTCAACACTTGTTTCCCTGCTCACATAATTGATTTCACATTCATAAAAACATCCAATAAAATAATTGTTGTTCTGTTGAGTTTGTTATTAACCTTTGTGCATTGTGCATCCCACTTTGGCATCCTCTTTATGCACAACATGCCCCTTCATCTGCCCTCTTTTTTCAACTCCCCATTTGCCACCCTCTTTCAGAGCAGACTCTCAAACCCTGTTCCAAAACCTAGCTAGCTGCCTACTGTCTAGCTAGGCATCCTAACTGATTATGGAACCTCATAAATAATATTGCTTCCTCAGCAGCAACTCTATTTACTGCACAAATAGCTTGTCTTAGTGTTAGTATGTTGCTTTTATAACAGTATAAATGTAAAAAAAAAAAGTATAATATTTGATTTTTAATATTAAATTATAGCTATACCGCTCAAAGGTTTGGGGTCAGTAAGATTATTTTTTTAAAAGATATTAATAATTTTAAATAAGCAGGGGTGCATTCAATTGATCAAAAGTGACTGAAAAAAAAAATCACATAAATGCTGTTCTTTTAAACTTCATATTCATCAAAGAATCCTGACAAAAATGTAGCAATGTTTTCACAAAAACATTAAGCAGCACAACCATTTTTAACATTGATAATAATAAGAAATTTCTCTTGAGCACCCAGAATATTAAGCATATTGGAATGATTTCTGAAGGATCATGTGACACTGAAGATTGGAGTAATGGCTACTGAAAACTCATCTTTACAGGAATAAATTACATTTGAAAACATATACAAATGGAAAACTGTTGTTTTAAACTGTAATGATATTTTACAATAATACAGGTCATATTAATGCAGCCTTTGTGAGCATAAGCCATCTTGGGTTAATTTGTGAGCTTGCTGCAAAGCATTCTGGGAGTGCATTCTCTGTGAAATGTACATATGATGTCACCTAGAAATATTTTTGGTTAAAATTAGGTGTCTTAAGGTGTGAAATAAATAAGTTGCCTTAAAATGCCATCTCTATAGGCAGCTCACTAGGTTTTGGAACAGAACATTCTGAGTATTTTCCCTGTGAGAGGACGGCGTGTTGATCTAGCTTGTAACTCCAAGTAGTTTGAGTCTTTCCTCCACGAGGATCTGCAGAGAAAAGAACTCTCTCTCGCTTGCCAGCTTTCAATCTCCCCGCCAGCGCTGTTTGACTGCATTTGGCAGGGAGTGTGAACCGAGTAAACCTGATGCAATGTTAACCACAATTTACAGCTACACTCAACCTTTCCCATGGCCCCTCAATTAAATTCAGCATAAAGCTAGGCAACAGCTATCTTGTCTTTGAGAACTTAGCTGACAGCAGGAGCCACTAAGGAAGCGCCGTGCCACACTGATCACAGTAATTATTGACGTAAGGCAGAGAAATTCTAATTGTTTTTGGGTTAATTCTCAAAGAGTTTAGAGTAAATTTGAAATAAAGCTGTGCTGTTGTGTCAGTGCTTTAAAGATGTGTGCTCTGGGAGATCTTCAGAAAAGCCAATTGTGGTCTTTGAGATCTAGGCCGTCGCAGTTCAACAGAAATCTCACAAAATGCCCAGAGCGATATGACGGGTGTTTCATTTGGACAGTGAAAGCAGAATGGAGCCGAAACGGTCAGTGGGGAGCAGATGACGCAAAGCACCAGAATCTGTAACTGCAGTGCAATCTCAGCCACATCAAGGACAAACCCAGCAGAAAGGCGGTTTGAGCCTGTAGCCTGTTACAAGTTTGAGCCTGTAGAAATCTACAGTTAGAGACTGACGGGTATGTAGGGAGTGTGCTGAAAGGTCTTGACGAAGCCACAGTGGATTTGATCCACACTTATCTCAGTGTGAGTAAAGAATGCAGCAGATGTATCAGTTGCATTCTCTAGTGATGATATATTACAAGCTGAGCACTGTCCACTGAAAAACTCAAGAGAGTTCAAACGCAAAGATTTTGAGAGAATATAAATCTGGGTCATCTTGCCCACATACATGGTATATAACTAGAGCTGTCAGTTGATTTAAAAAGTATTAAAATGAATTGTAATTAATTATCACTGTTATTATTTGCTGAAAAGCCACCCGGTAAAATATATTATATTACAGCGAGGCATTTTAAACCACACCAAATTTAATTAATTTCGACATCTGTATATATAGAAGTAGAGAATGTACACACAATATAATAGAGCTGCACGATTTGAAGGAAAAAAATCAAATGGCAAATTTTCTGATAAAATTCCAATTGCAATTTAAAATGTGATTTAAAAAAAAGCTCCATGTCTGCTGTGTTTACAGGGCTTAAATTATAATAATTGATATTATTAGTATTATTATAATTATTTTTATTATTACTAAATAAGAAATATTACAATTGTAATATTTCACTTTAAAATGAGTATTTAAGAAAACAAATATTTTACAGAACAACTGTAAAATTACAATAATATTTATCGAAGTCCTAATTTCTTAATTTTCAAACATTACATCAAGCTTTTATTCTGGCAGAAACAACAGGGATCCCTTAAAGCTTCTCTTTTCGGTGACAACAGCTAGTTTATAAGTGCTTTTCATTACAAGTATAGGAAGACGGTTGGCGCATGTTGCATTTTGAAATCCACATTATAAGAGACCCAAAGCGAGTTTGTGTGAAGCAGGATTTACTGAGGCACTGATTGACCTGCTTGCGTGTAAATTAACAGTGTTGTGCTTCACTCTTAAACATGCAGTATATATATATATATATATATATATATATATATTGTATGTTTTGTTTCGATTATTCCTGCAGCCCTACAATATAATGCAATTTATTTCTCTATGTTAAATGATATAAGATGTTCATCATAATGGAACAGAAATAAAAGTCCTGGCTGACAGATACAGATCTCTCTAAAACTGTGAGGACTGTGTAAGGTTTCTGTAGGATCATGTGTAAATATGTCATTCACTTTGACGTACACTTGGATGTCTAGCATTATCCTCTTGTCTTCTTCAACATGGATTCCCCAGATGCAGTCCTGACCCTTATCATAGGCTTCAGGCCAGTTTGGAGACAACACCACCCCAGCTGAATCTGTGATCTCTCCACTGCAAACCGCTGCAATGCAACCAAAGAGAAAGCAAAAAGAGGTCAGAAAGAAATGCAAACAAACATAAATGTATTTAGATATTTCATTTTTTAGTATTTTTAATAGTTTTTTTGCTTCTATGTTAGTTGTGAAGGCAGCATTTCTATTTAGCATTTTCAGCTTTATAAAAAAAAAAAAGGATTTTCTAAGATGAAACAACCTAACAATAACAACACTGATGGTTATACAAACGCACCAAATTTTAAAAAGTTCGGGCATTTTGTATCCCAATTTGTTGTATAAGTGACCCCCTCAAGCTCTGGATTAATCCGACTGGGGTCTAAGTGGAAAATTCCGTCCAGATTAATAAACAACTTGAGGCTTCCTGTTTTTTAAATGTTCCCTTTTTCACACCACTACACTGGCTTAGCTGGTTGTAAGCACAATTTCAGATGGAAAAGCTTTTGTCTTGACCCTCTGCTGGAGCCAGAAGTATTAAATCCTTTCAATCCAAACTCTATTGTGAGGCTAGAGAAATGTACTTGAGCAACGGGTCAGATAAGATGGCACTGTGTGTGTGTGTAGGTGGGGGTGGAATTGGGGCTTTATGAGCCCCGATGTGCACATTCATCTGTGCACATTCTTCGGCTCTGTGCACCTGCTACTAGCCTCCATGGCTTAATGCTTTTAGTGCTGCTTTAGGCGCGTGACTGTGGCTAAGAGTGTCTGAAATCCATCCAGGTGACACAGGATGTAGTGGATTACATAGAAAAGGCACTAAAAGGATGTGAGGGGCTTGTACTGTACCTGCACATGCTGCCTGTAGAACTCTTCAGCAGCTAACTAATGCAGATTATACACAGAAACACACAAATGTATAGCCTATGCATATACCCTCATGTGGAGAGAATTCAAGAAGCAAATGTGTTATATAATTGCCCATGCACGTTGCATGTTGTGTTATTTTAGCACCTGATTAACTAAGCAAATGAGCTAAATCAATGCTTTTGGATACATGGCTAGATATGATCCTCTTTGTCATGATTTTCTATCAACTTTTGATGAACAACTGCAGCCATGAACAAGAGAAAAACAAAATGTTATTAAAATATAAAAAATATTACTACAGAAATATTAATATAAATATTATTATTAAAATATTTTATTAAATAAAAAACTTTTATGATTAAAGTGCATTTGATATTAAGCATATTTGCATATAAATAAAAATATGATTACTGAAATAAAAGGAAAGTCTATTTTATTGTGCATGATTCATCTGTGCATGTTATATTTATTTATATTTTAATTTTGACCCAGTAATTTTTTTTATTGCATCTCAATGTTCCAGCAAAACGACAGACTTCGTTCTGGCACGTCACAAAGCAGATGAAAAGATTTGTCGCTACTTCCATTTCATCACAACTTAAATAAAATAAAGTGTGGTGATATTTACCTAAATAAACTGGATTGGAGGTGCTTTGTAATCAAAATGCATATTTTTGTGCTTAAATATGGTTGCAATTTTAGTGAATTCAACTAAACTACAGGGTTGTGCACCATTCAGAATTATATTTGAAGTGAGCTTGCAAACAGGATGCAGAATTGCAATTCAAATTTGAATGCAATTTGAAAGGAAGAAGAATTCAAATGAACTGAACTCAAGAACTGAACTCAGACAAAGACAAACATGTTAACTTGACAAAGACATTTTTGAAAGTTTTGGGAAAAAAAGTTTAAAGTTTGAAAGTTTATCAGCCTTACGGACAGATTCACATGAACTCTCATGAACTGAAAGGCAACCAATTCTTCAATACTGAATTTGGCCCAACCCTGGGTTAAATGACCATGGTGTTGGTGTGCTTGACTGGCCAGCAAACTCACCAGGCCTGAACCCCATAGAGAATCTATAATTAAAGCAAAAGGAACCCCTACCAAGTATTGAGTACATGTACAGTAAATGAACACACTTTCCAGAAGGCCAACAATTCACTAAAAATGTTTTTTTTTATTGGTCTTGTTAAATGTGAGCCAAAATCATCACAATTAAAAGAACCAAATACTTAAACTACTTCAGTCTGTGTGCATTGAATTTATTTAATACACGAGTTTCACAATTTGAGTTGAATTACTGAAATAAATGAACTTTTCCATGACATTCTAATTTATTGAGATGCACCTGTATGCATATGCAAACATTCTCACACACCTCTGCAGGCGGGCTCAGTCTCATTCCATTGAGGGTTGCTGGGATCCATGCACTCGATGATAACAGAGCCCTGCTCCAGGGTGTATCCGGGGTCACAGGTGAACTCCACAACCGTGCCCACAGCGTAGGTGCTGTCAGTGCTGTCAGTGCTGGTGAAGTTGCCGTACTTGACGAATGGCTCGTAGCAGTGCCCTGCTGCAAAAGCTGAGAGGACACACCATAAATCACCTGCTCCAAGACGCACATCACAGTCCAAACACTATCACCAAGCATCTGATTTCAGAAGAGCTTAAAACACACAGACAACCAGTCCGCTCGACTCAGCCCATAACAGCTTCACAAAATAATTTCGTCCGAAAGGCCGAGGACAGTCCGAATGTAAAAGCGTTTTTAGATGGCAGTCTAAAAGAATTTGTCTGCTAAATGTGGCAAAGCAATGTGCAGCTTTTTACTTTCCCACCAATCAAAATCTTCCTGGATGCAAACCCAAGGTTTCAGGTTGCCCTTGGAAGGAGATTGTTAGTTAATCAAGCTTAGCCAGACTTGCAAGGCCACTTACGGGCGTAAAAGGAAGAGAGACGGCCTGACAACGTGAATAAATGTGAAACGTGAATGAACAAACTCACTCAGGGAAACAAAAAACCGTCACGCCTGGCTGAATCGTTATTGGTTGTTGTGCTCGTCTGAGAATGTAGAATAGAGATTAGAGCAAGAGGAGGAGACTTAAGATGAGGATGTTCAGACTATGGATAAACACTGGCTTTGATATCCCTCCGGGTCCGGCCTCATTCAAGCGTGAGCTAGATTAGACTACCCACATTCAGCTTTACATTCAGCCTCGCTCTCTGTTTAATAAACACAGGCGATTCTGCCAATTACAGCAAACTGTTTTCACCCACCTCCCCCCCAATCCCCTTCCCCAGACACACATTTGCATTATTCATCTTTGGCTTCATCTGGCTCTGTTCTCTAAAAGAAGTAGAAATAAGCCATTTTAATCATCAGTTGATTCTTGTCCTCTCATAAGCACAGAAACAATCCTTATATAAGATGGTATCAACATAAAAGTCAGATTTATATTGAAATAAGAGTAATAAGTTCCAGACGGTATATAATTTGTGTGCATTTAATGACATTGCTATGAGTGAAGTCCCAATAGGAATGAAAACCATAAATGAAACGTCTCAGTTATTTCTCCCAGGCAGCAATTAGATTAAATGGTGAGAAAGATTTTTCTCCTGAGAAAAGGGAGTTTTCAAAGGGATCTCCAACAATATCTTAAACTTTTGTTCAATGTTCAAAGACACAAAAGTTATATATTTAAATATGAAGTCAAATATTCCTTATCAAATTCCTTCAAAAACTAATTACAATAGGGACACTTCTAAAACAAAGAAAACAGAACTATACTAACACTGAAACTTTTTTCATTTAATTTTGATTGATTTGATGTAATTATTTACTCTATTTTCTGAGTCTCAGCATAAATTTGCTAAAAATGTTTGTCACAGGACAGATAACCGTCAAAGTGGCCCTGTTTCAATTTGTACTCAATTGTGACAAAATTCATAGCTGCTATGTTTTACCTTGTCATGACGGTATGCAGTAAAATCACACTGCAGTTTTATACCTTTACTGTATGTCAGAAAATTTCGCATTTTAGGAAACAATATCTGAGACAAAGCTGATTCTTAAATGAAACATACTCCATTAAGTCTCTAGAGGAATGAAATATGAAGGTATGAATACATTTCATATATTTTTTTCAAAAGAAATCAAAACTTTTAATTAGCAAGGATACATTAAATTGACCAAAAGTGACTGTAAATACATTTATAATGTTACAAAGATTTATATTTCAAATAAATGCTGTTCTAATGAACTTTCTATTCATCAAAGAAATCCTGAAAATTGTACCACATTTCACACCGGAATGCTTTCTGAAAGATCATGTGTCACTGAAGACTGGATTAATGACTGCTGAAAGTTCAGCTTTGCCATCACAGGAATAAATTACACTTTAAAATATCTTAAAATAGAAAGCATTTATTTTAAATTGTAATAATAGTTTACATTATTACAGTTTGTACTGTATTTTTGATCAAATAAATGAAGCCTTGGTGATCACAAGAGACCTTCAAAAACACTAAAAAACAAAAACAAATAAAAAAAATCTTACCAACCCTTAACATTTGATCAGTAGTGTTTAAGGTATGAAACAGAAACTTTAGCTATAAAAGTTTCTCTGGGCCAAACTGAGAGAACACCCATAGAGAACATGGCCAAAAAATAACAAAATAACGCTGAAAGTGAAATTAATCTCTAAAAATTAAGGCAATACTCTGAAAATCATCTATTTCAGCAAATACAAATAAAAATGTTCTATTCAACTGCAAATACTACATAGTTACTTAAGTAAAAATCTGTCTTTACAACTTTTACTTGTAATGGAGTAATATTTGACCAGCAGTATCTGTACTTTCACTCAAGTAATGGAGTTGAGTACTTTGTCCGCCTCTGGATTTACATGATGATGGTTTAAAAGGCCTTCAGAGGACTGAGTATTCTGCGTGTGGCCTCTCAACACCTACAGAGTTCCAGATCAATGGTTGTGCTAGTCTACTGAAATTGATAAAAACAGATCCATTTTGTTTATGATGGCAGAAAAAGGAGAACAGCACTTCAATCAGAAAGACTTTTAAAACCTGAGCACTCTGCCTGGTGTTAAATTCAGAGAGGCGTCTAGAGTATGAGAAGACAAGCCAAATTGTTACAGGTTTCCGTGAAGGCACATTATTGTGTATTGTAGATAGCATAATCGGATTGTGACGTGGTAAATGAGATTAGATTGATCTTGCTGGATAATGACTGTGAGGTCCTGAGGTGTGCATGATATCCCTGTAACTGCACATGTTCGACTGACCTGTCAGAGGGAATAGGAATGCAATTTCTGTAAAAAAGAAAAAAAAACAAATAACAGGCTTTGTGTTTCCAGTTAAAACTCATTTTAATGACCTTGTCGGGTTGCATTTGCCCGCTTCATTCGATTTCCATTTGATTTAATCTGAATAAATCTCATTTGAGCCACGAATCTAAGGAGCGTTTAGCAAGGCACATGGGAGAAGAGATCTTTGGTGTGAATCGAAGCAACAAGGGGAATGTGCTGGAAGGTACGCTCTTTGTCTCCACAACCCTCAGGCTCTGTAGAGGACATGTCTTCTTCAAACAACGTTTGAACTTGGCAACCGTCAACCGTGTACGGCCCGGCTCAGAGACTAACCAGCGGAGGATGGATTAGAAAAGATGCTGGCTGCTATCAAGTCCTCATTATTACGACATCCTGTTAAGCTGGATTCCAACTATTTTCTCAATCAGTGTCAAAAATACCTGGCGGACATGCTGTGTGTGTTTACAAATTCTTTAAATCTTACAAACGTGTGTGTGTTTTTGTCTCACGTCTTATGAACTGGTCAGTGGAGGAGATATATTTGCTAAATACTGGCTAAAAAAGCTCTTCTGACATCCATTGCTTTATTTTTAGATTTGTCATGATGGCAAAAATGGAACTTATGACTGTGTATCGTTTTGTTCGAACACATGCAACGCAGATGTAAACAAATATGTCAATCAGATTACAACATTTAGGGTTCCTATAAACAGAAACATGTTGGATTGTATTCATTCTGACTGCCGAAAATTAGTGCATGTAAACATCTACTGATTCATTTGCTGCAGTAAGTCTTGTTGGTCCATACCTTCATATCTGATGGCTACTCCTGTGTTGGTGCCGAATCCATCCGTCGTAAACTCCACAAAGAGATGTCTGGTGGAACTAACGATTCCTTCATTCGGAAGGTATTCCACCTCGTACGAGTCATACAAAATCGGCGAATCAATGTGGTTGCCGTTTTTAATCAGAAACCTGCAGACATAAAAAGAACAGAAGGGTTTAGTTTTGTTCAAAACAATGAATCTCTCAACAGTATCTGTTTGGCAGCAGATGTAACATTCCTCCGATTTCTAGTACTGTCTTTTGGCAGTTTGCATAATAATTGCCTGATATGATTTTGAATAACTGAGCAGCAAGTGACCTCATTAAAAGTCCATTTGTTAGCAAAGCCTGCAGAAAAAGCGGATACCGCTAATAAAAATAAGTTAATCCTCCTCCTGAGGCCCCAGAGTGGGCTCTAATCACTCTCTCCGCGCCTGCACGAGGGGATTTGATTATTCTAAATTATTTTAAAGAAGAGCAAGTGTCTGATCTCAGAAACTTTCATCCACTTTAACTCACGCACTCACAGCTGTCCCTATCATGCCTCGCTCTCGCCGTTGCAGATAATGCCCTGAAGAGCAGCACCACATTTGGAGTGTGACGGCACTGTGAAGAGACCCTCTGAGCTTCTCCAACTGTCTCTTTGAACATCAGATGACTAATTAGTTTATAATAGCTGAGTACTGTGTGAATTGACTGGGACGGACCTGTCATCATCTTCCGCGAGGGCCACTTTCTCAAAGTGCATGTGCAGCCGTTGACTCTCAGGGGCCTCCAGCACCCAGTGGCAGGTCAGGTTGTTGCTGTAGTTGCCAGGGAAACCAGGGGACACAATGCGGCCGAGAGTCGCGTTCTTCACCATTCCACCGCAGGCCACTGTTCAAGGTACAAATGGAAGAAGACAGATGACATTGAGAAGAAAAAAAAGAGAGCTAGAGGTCGAGTAAGTCCTCGGAGCGAGCTTTGAGCTGTGGATAACAAAACTCTTTCATATAGTGCATGACCATAATGACTAGACCCCTGTCCAAAACACAATAATGTAGCAATAACAGTAAGACTAAGATGACATAATAAGTGAGGTCACAAGAGACTTTCAGAAAGTCCTTGTGTACAAATATGCATATACAGTATATACTATATAGTAGGCGAACAATTGTATATGAAATGAGTAGCATGACTGAATTAATAGTATTCCTAAAACTGTATCCAGATCACCTACTACTTGATGCCATTTTTTAAACATTTTCTATCCCATGAAGAGCAGTTCTGAATGACAGTAAAGAGACACAACCGATGCCATAAGTCACATGACAATGATAACAAGGCGGATGTATTACACTGGGTTTTTATTCATACTATACAAATTAATACTACATAGAACATGTTTTTAGCGATCACAAAGTTTATATTTTACAATAATAAAAATATAATGAATTATTAATTTTATATTTTCTACATCTTGAACTAATCTTGCCTTTAATAAAGGGTCAAATGATCTACTTTAAGAAACACATTGACCTTGTCACACAGTCAAGATGGTCTGCATGGGTCCTCTCTATGATATCATTGCCTGTTTTATAGATTTTTTTGTTGGTCATACCACAAGACTTAAAAAAAAGATTAAAATATTCAGCAGGAAAGCAGTTTTATAATAAACAAACCAAATAAATAAATTAAATACATTTTTTTATTCCACCTGGCTGGTGGAACGATCTTTCCACCCCTATCCGAAATGCTGAATCTCTGACAATTTTCAAGCGACAGCTGAAAACTCATCTCTTTCAAAGCTACTTGACTTCATCATAAATTAAGTCCATATTCCTTCTCTTTCTAGCTTTTACTTATTTGAACAATGTCTAGAAACCTGGTATTACAAGCACTTCCTGTATCTGTTTACCTCTTTAAGAAGAATCACTTTATGTATCCCCCAATTGTAAATCGCTTTGGATAAAAACGTCTGCAAAATGACTAAATGTAAATACTTTTAAAAAAAGAATTTCAGGTGTTTTCATTGTGATATCATGACAGTTGCCACCCTAAAATCCAAGCCCAACAAAGACATAAATAACATTTTAATTCAGAAAACATGCTCATCATAAAAGAGGTGCATTTCAGTCATAGTGTGTATAAATTGCATTGTCAGTGTATTTTTGAATAAATTAATAGATGAGTTAATAAATGAATAAATGAGTGCCACATCATTGACTCAAGAACCTTTAGACCACAATGATTTAAACAGAGAAGGACACCAATAATAAACAGTTTTTCTTAAAGGCAATGAAAAAAGAAAGTGCTTGGAGGAGGAGGAGGATACCTTCTGAGCTTGACGGCTGAAGGTTAGTCAGGCGGACAGAACATAATTAAAGTGGACCCAAAGCCCTGCTCCCTGGTAGCCTGCCCATGCTGATCAGTAATCAGACTCTGACAGTCTGGCCCGGCCCTGCATCAGCATGGCAGGGGCACACTTCTAAAATGGCACATTTATGCTATTTCACTCCGAATCAATGGCGGGACTGAGAAACCCCAAGTCATGTAGGCCGTGTCTGGCAGCCACAGGCTAACAAAACCACCTCACAACTTGCACCACAGTCGTGCCTCCAAAGCACTAAATGAGATCCTTCATCAAAACAGCCCTCCTTTAGGGAGCCCAGCCTTGTTTGCAATCAGAGATGTTTTTCTGTTTGTCATGCAAGAAGGAAGAGTTCCCCAGCTCTGGGATTCGCTCTCCGAAGAAATCGAGGCGCAAAAAGTCCTTATTTATGCAGAATAGGCAGGCCTGTCAATCACGTTGTCAGATCGGGCTGCCTTGAGGGGGTACGGTTGTTAATATTCACTGCCTTGTAGCACAAACACTTCTGTTACCAACATACCAGCCAAAATCAATGATCAAGCTCCAATTAACTTAAAAGGAGGAGGGAGCAACCGCACGGGGAGTTTCTCCTGTGTCAAATTAAATCACACCTGTGTGGACTAAATATTTATACAGGCATGAGGTTTGTTTTTGAGCCCAAAGTATAGGGGCTGCGTCTAAATGACACGATGACTTGTGGGTGTATGTTTATGGTGAGACGGAGAAAAAAAACAAAGGATAAATGCTAGTGAATGAGTCCAGGGAGGCTTCACAATGATACAAATCAGCAAGTGTGAGGAGGCTGTGTTTATGATTGGCAGGCAAAACCAAACATTTTCTGCACCTTGCGTCTATATGCAAATGAAATAAGGTTCATTAAAAGCAGAAGCTACTATTTCATAGATTTTCCTGTACTTGTAAAGATAGCGGTACTGAATACTAGTGCTACTGCTTCATAATTGAATTTCTCAGGGGCAGAGATCAAATACAGCAGATTTCAATGATTAACTGTCATTTAGCTGATGCGACATGTGGCCAAGTATGGTGACCCATACTCGGAAATAGTGCTCTGCATTTACCCATCCAAAGTGCACACACACAGCAGTGAACACACACATGTGGGAGAAAGCACTGTACATTCACTCACCTCACCTACAATCCCTGCCGATATGAGACTCGAACCCACAACCTTTGGGTTATGAGTCCGACTCTCTAACCATTAGGCCACGACTTTTGTTATAGTGTGCTCAATACAGAGACAATCCCTTTGGAGTAACCTGCAATTAAGAGACTAGCTGGTGAAAGGGCACATGTGACATGTTAGTTAGTCTCTACTTCAAGTTTACCACCACCTGTAAGCAACTTGAACCTTTCATATTAGCAGCCCAGATCCATTACTATCTGGCTAAAGGAATCAACCAGGGTCAATACAAGTGAAGCTCAATGGACCACATTTAGGGAATAATGTCAATTAGCACATAAAATAATTTAATTTCTTTTAGTTAAAAAACAAAGCAAAAATCTTGGTTAGAATAAGGCACTTAATGAAGGTAAATGACGCCATCATCATTCAGTGAGTGTAACAGCAGAAATGTTAGACTATTTTTTGTTAAAGCACTTTAATTCTTCACATTAATTCTTTTAGAATACAAGTATAATTTGAGCTGCAAAGTTATCTAAATTGTCATTTTGCAATTTGTCATCAACGGTTGGTAAAAATGTGTTTTGATTGGTCTGTTTATGTGGCTAGTTTTCATTTTAAATGTATCCCGACCACAGGAAGGAGTCAAATTTATGTTCTTCAGCTGTATCAAGATGATCCACGTAAACCAGGAAGTTGTCACCACCTTTCTTGGTATCTTTGCGCAAACAAAGACTTGCAAGATTAGAGGCTTTTCATGACAATGACTGTATAAAACTATAAAAAGACAAGTTTAGTGATACTATCAGCCTCATAATAAATTTTTTTATATGTAAGTATTGTGGCAATAAACAAATAAACAGTGATTTGCATGCTTTATTGTCTGGTGCTGTTTATTTCTAATTCCTTATTATAAAAGCAATATTTGGGTAAACAAAACACAACACAACACAACACAACACAACACAACAAAATAAAATGTGTCTTATGGTAACACGTTTTTGAATGAATGCATGAATATATAGAAAATATTTGGGACTCACCAAGACAGCGCGGCACTTTGCCGCTCCAGTAGGGTGTGGTGGCATTGCGGCACGTGAGGGTGGAGGGACCCTGGAGTTGGTATCCATTGAAGCAGTAGAAATAGGCCTCTCCCCCTGCATGCAGGCTGGTGACGGACACATCCCCATATGCTGGTCTATCTGGGAAGTTGCAACTCAATACAAATGCTGTAATGGAGAAAAAACGAATAACTGATTAGGCAAATAATTAAAACTGCAGCACACCACACTTATTTAAACGAACGTCTGAAGCTGCTCTAAAACTATCATTAGACTAAGACTAAGGTCTGTGGGGAGTATGAATATTGCATTACAGCGACTCCCACTTATTTCAAGAAGACTTATTATCTTAACAAACTCCATCTGTCTTTCTTTCTCTCAGTTTAATATGATCTGTCCCCAATGCATGTCCTCACTCCACGTCCTCCAGACCGCAGCTAACCTTTTCTGTGTGAAAGGGACATCTCAAAGATGACAAATAAACCCAAACCCTGAACATTGTCTGTTGTCACAGCCAGAATGGGCCAGCTGGGATGCGTGGAGACAATCATTTGGTGCCTAAGATGATAGATTAGGCTCCCATTTGGTCTAATTGTCGCAATAGAGCCAAACCTTCTCTACCTCTGAGACTAGCGCAGATTCTTCATCATTTTTAACTGGACACTATTTCCATTTTGACCTTTACACAGAGTCTTGCAGAGTCTGGTCCACACTGCAACCACACGTTCCATTTTGTTTCTATGTGTCATTGAAGTAAATAATGCTCCAATAATAAGTCTACATTAAATGTATTTAAATAATCTTAGTTACAAGTCTGGCCCAAATAAAAATTCCCTAAATGGCCTCTTACATAAACTTTGGTCTTCTGGAAAGGGCTATGAAGTGAGGCTTTACTGACCATTGTCTTGCCAGGCTCTCGGCACTAAACCAGACTGTCAATACTTTCTCAAGCAATGTCCACAAAAGCCTTTTCACCATTTATCTCTGTTGGCTTGCGAGTCCTCTTTCACCCTTTCAAAACACCTGAAGAAGGTCTTGGACCGAAGCACTGCTATTTAATACACTTTTGCAAGCTACAACAGTGCAGGAATTTTCTATTTTACCTTCCTCCTATGAAAATCAACAAGCCCTGATCTAGTGAATACTAAAGACATAAAAGACAGATATTTTTTCTTTGAAATGAAAGAGGTCAAAATTCAAGGCCAGAGTGAATTCAATTGCGAGTCATGTACAGAACGGTGTCTGCATACGAAGGAGTCTTGGATAAGCAAGTGACCGTCTTTTCCTTCATCACAGAAGCGCAGCACAGCCTCCATAGGAGGCCCCGCAAGGTAGTAAATCCATGTTAGACCGCAAGTGCCCATCAAGCTAAGAACTGCTTTCCTACTGCCAATTTTTTCGTCTCCTCCTATCCATCCTCCTTGGAGAATGTTTTTGCAATTTATGACAGAAATTTCAGGTCTCATTTCTCCCTGTCTCGATGTGTCTGTGGCAGCTGTATTGTTAGCTGTTGAAATTCAGAGCGGCGTGTGGGTGTTGATTTTGTCACCAATGACAAGACTGAGCCCAAGGCCAGAAAATTTGCACAGGGGAGATAAATTATAACCTTTGACCTGGCTCGGATCCGTGTCATATCTGCTCTCAAATTCTTTAGCTGACTGCAACAGGCCGAGCACAAATTATTTCCAGCACTATGGGGAGAAATCACTAATAAAGAACTGCACTAACCAATAGCTCTTTTATTTGAATGCACAGAATCTGTAACTAACTTAGTAATTTTCAAGCATAATTTTAATATTTTTTTAGTTTTATTAGTTTAAGTTTAAAAAAATTTAAACACGATGATATTATTTAAGCCTGTTTCCACCATGGAATAAAAATTGAATAAATAAATATATAAATAAATAAATAAATAAAAACGATTATTGTGAAAATTTTGATTCTGCGAAAAAGGTCATAATTGTGAGATATAAACCCAGAATTCTGACATTCTTTCTTTATATATCAAAATTCAGACTTTTCCCAGAATTTCAAGGTATAAACTCAAAACTGCGAGATATAACCTTGCCATTCTGAGAGGAAAAGTGTGAATTTTGAGAAAACAAAATAAAATGAAATTTTTTTTTTATAAAAATTAATTTAAATGTGCATAAATTATGCATATCAGGTAAATAACTATGTAAACAGCCAAGGAATATCTGTGATGAACAATTTCCATGCAGCAGAGACCTGGCATACTTTACTTGTTGAATAAAGCACAATATATAATAAGCCTAATTTACATAAAAATTAGAAGTCTTTGTGCAGAACTAAATTATGGTTTAATTTAATTACTTGGACACAGTCCTATTTCAGTGTACATAATGCCTGGATAAACTGGATTGTGGGAGGTTAGTCAACAGAACACAAATTTTGCAATGCAATACGGCAAAGTAAATTCTAGCCAAAGAGATGATTTGACACTTCTGCAAGCAAAGAGCTCTCAAAGGGCTAGTCTCTAACAGCTAACATGAGGGCTTCAATTACACCTGTAAATACCTGTAAATAACAGGTAAAAATGTCAAGTTGTATTACACATGATCGAGATGCAATCCTTTCCCAAAAGAAATGTTATCTCACAGTAGAGGCCACAGAATCAGCTACGAACGAGTCTGCTCTAAAATATTACAGCAATTTTTCAGGTGTCAGGCATTAATTAAACGGTGCTATACAATGCCCTGTAGTATTGCTTTCATAGCTGAGATTAGCCGTATCTGATCCTGAACCAACAGCAAAAGTGAATCACCACCGTGTTTCATGAGAGAATCACTCTCGCTCTGGTCTCTGATCCTGTGGTGGTGTTTAGAGACGTAGAGGGCCCTGTCAAACAGAATTAATGTTTTTGTTTAAGTTTTTTCCCCTCTGCTGGCTCAGGTTGGATTCATGTGTCTAAGAAAGCCACAGTTTGATAAATCACTGCAATTCTTTTTCCTCACTGAGCAGAGAGGAGCTGCGTAATGGGGTGGTGCACCTCAGCAACAATATAGGAGCCAGTAAGCGAGGGTTATACAGAACTGACATCCACACCCCTGAAGAGCATTTTTTGTGCCCCATGTTGAGATTCTGCGGTACACACATACATAAAAATCTGGCACTAAGCAGAAAGCTATAGTTCATTCTGCAAACTGTCACAGATGAGCACAGCTTTGTTGATTATAATGGCATTTAGTTTTGATCCATGTTGATGCTCCACTTGCTTAAGGTGTAAACACTGTGCAACTCTAGTTTGTTTATGGTTGCCAAGAAATTTTGGGAAATTAATACATAATTTAACTGACATGTGGTTACATAAAAAATGAAAGAGCAGTACAAATAAATCCTTCTATAGCAGCAAGTATTAGTCCAAGCAACAAAAACAAGGCATACACTTACACAGTACCGCAGTCACCAACAGATCAATCGCATTTCCAGTGTTTGTAAAGGTCAAGCAGTTTAAATACTATACGATAATAAATAATAAATAAATAGTATACTAATAATATAGATAAATGCATTTATATGATATATACATTTATATAGAGAGAAAAATATATTTTTAATTTAATGAAAAATGTAATTAAGCAGTGGTGTCTGATTCACAAATGTCTCTTTTAAATCGTTTCTTTTTAACAAATCAGAAAAACAGCATGACTGGTGTAGTCTGATTCTCAAACTAAAATAGCTAGTTTTTAATGGCTCAAAAACATACTGTGTGACCAGTGTAGTCTGAAAGACTCTTTTAAATTGGGTCTTTTTAATAAATCAATAACATAGAACACAATTAGTGATTCTTTTAAATAATTTCTTTTTAGCAATTCAAAAACTTCCTGCACAAACAGTGTAGTCTGATCCACAAACAAATCATTATTTTAAATAGTAAAAAAAAAAAAAATCAAAAACAAACAGGGTAACCATTGTGTTCTGATTCGCAAACAAATTGCTCTTTTTAAATATTTCTTTTTGGTAAATTATAAACATGCAGTGGAACCAGTGCAGTACAGTTTTATAATGTACCAGCCAAGTAAGAAGGTTCCTGTATAATTTACAGCATTAGCTGGCAGAACATTTCTTTGAAATGCATGCAAAGTGAACATCATAAGTGAACTATGCCTAAGTGAATCAGAACCAAATAAGCCCTGCGTTCTGGTCTGTGATGTTTCAAAAGTTGAGCTCTAGAGGCAATTTAAAAATACCCTAATTCCAGCCCAGTGCTTGGTGTATATTTCAGTATTTGATGAGACAGTTTTGCCTCCTCTCTCTCGCTCTCTCTATAGTCTTAAACCAGAGCATCTAACAGTAATTATGTCTTTCTCATGAGTTCTGCATTGACTTCCACCCTGTTACACTGGTGCATATGTGTAAGAGGTCAGCGCCTGCAGCTGCGGGGCATGTGGAGAGGGTCTATGCCCCTGATGACTGTCTAATATCGATGCTGAGAGGGGGAGCACTCCTCTCACCAACTCAATGAGCCGGCACATGGGGGGGAGGCTTCCCTCCCTTAGCCATCTATTTTATTTATGGTTTATTAGTGCTGTTTCAGCACAGCGGGGCCCGTGCGCTAGCACCGTCGGGTTGTTATAGCATTATTACCCCTCTGCTTCCATTTCAATTAGACTAATACGGAGGGGGCACCAGAGGCTGGCTTTTTGTGGAGCCGTCCGGTCGACACTAAATCACATGTTCACAAGTTGCCTCGTGGCTTCATAGGCCATAAAGACTGAGTGTCGTAATGCAGCCTGGAGATGACTGTGTGGGAACTGGCATGGTGGAGATTAGCTGGCAACCGCTTAGACAGCAACAGATGCAGTGCTAATGTGCTTCATTACGTGCCCTGGAGGAAGGCCCATGGGTGGACGAGGTGAGGATGGGGTATATGTCCAGTCACCATGACGAACCCCATGGTTTAGTTGGGTGGTTTTACTTAAAGTGATAGTTCACCCAAAAATGTCAATTCTGTCATCATGATTCAGCTGTTTTTGTCAATACATTGAAAGTCAAAGGGGAACAAACCAACATTGGACCCTATTGACTTTAATTTTATGGAGAAGAATATACCAATTGTCTATCACTTTTTTGGGTGAATTATAGCCAGACATATGAAATAATAGTTAGAAAAAACTACAGAGCTCATATTCAAGGAGGAAAAAACACCTCAATTTTATTCAGAGGCCCAAAATGAGCAAATATATGCAATTTGGTGCAGTTGTTGTTTTTAATATGGCCGAAAAGTAATGTAATTCTGCTAGCTTGTCATGTAAATCAATGAGATATTTATAACAGTATAGCAGACTACTTACATAAAATGCATGTAAATATCAGTTGTCACTCTAAATATCCCAATAATATATCTTAGTAAGATGATGCTTAAATGCTTTTATTATTATAGCTCTGTAGTTTTTATTGTGGAGGGCAAAATGCAATGCATATAATGCAATGCAACACAATGACGATTCAGAGATGAACAAATAAATGTTCCTCAAATACCTGATATATCATGCCTATAAGGTAAGGCTATTAAATAGCAGTCCCAAACTAGTTTTTGTTAATACAATTAAGTTGGTATGAGCCATCACAGTCATTTAAATACACAGTCATGCACAATACTAACATGAACTGTTAATGAAACATGGAAACTGCTCCTGAATAGAATGAATATCATACCTTCATGCAAATCCTTCCCAGCTAACACACAAAGTACCAGTTATGTATGGAT